ATCCTGCTTGTTCACAGCAAACCTAAAGGAGAGGCTTGGGAGATTTAGCACAAGGAGGAGGGACAGCTACTGAACTGGCATCTTGCTACACCCCTCCTGAGGAGCATCCCGCAGGGAGACAAAAGATCTTCATCATCTTGTAGCACAGATGCTGCACAGAATGCCTCACTCACAGTATTATCCAGACCCTTAATAACATCTTTCACCCTGCAGAGTACAGGAACGGTCAGGACAGGAAGGCATGACTTTTTCTTGGCAAACGCTATGAGTGTTGTGGATTTAGTGGGAGGGAAGCAACTCTCCATAAAAGACACAAGATCTTGAGATGGAACAAGCAGTTCTGGGAGCACCAGTACTAATGACTCTCATTTGCAGTGCCTCTTCTCATTCCTGCCCAGTGTGGATGCCCTGAGGTCTACCAAAGGAGGAGCTTGCTAGCCTTTCTCTTCAACAGTGGCAGTAATAGGATCTTTTTTTTTCTATAAGGTCATATCTTAAACTGTTAATAGCTCTCTGTCAAATGTGGTTAAAAATGGATAAATCCCTTCAGAATATCTCAGTGAGAACAAGAAGCTGCAAAAAGGGAGAAATCCTCACTTTAAGTCTATAGAAAACTAAATATCAACTAGGTGGCACAAATACTGAATTTGAATGTTTTTATAGATCTCCAGGATATCACCAATGTAAAAATTTTCAGTGTATGTTGTCACTCTGTGTGTTTGTACTCTACAGCCACCTCTCAGTGCTCTGCTAACCTACATCCCCTATTCCCCAGTCCCATCTGTCCCTGGGGCTCTCAGGACCGAGCTGTTCTTTCTCTTCAATTTGGAAATGCCAAAGGCACCTGGCAGTGCTACCAGAAGCAGTAATTATTTAAGACACAAAACCACTGTGGCAACAGTCTAAACTTCAGTTGACGTGAAGAGGCAGTAAAATTTACTGAAGGAAATATTATTCCAGAACACAGTGTAACCAAGGTAATCCTGCTGCTTCCAGTGCAGGAAGAAAATAGTGTTGAGATGGATTTTGAACACGGGCTCATCTTGTTCAAATTATTACAACTATATTGATACACACTGCCCAAATATCTGAACTGGAGGGGTTTTCCTAGAAAACGGGTAGTTTTGAATATATTGGGTACCTTCCTAGAGGAATTTTCTTTTGTGGTTAGGGAGCTTCCCACAGCAGGCAGGAAAAAGGACAGCTCGTTAACCCACATCACTCTGCATTTTCTACCTGAGGGCGTCTGAACCACTGCTTATTTCTTTTTTTCACCATTACCAATATCCAGAATATTCCGCAAAATACCGGCAGGGGCCGCCACTGGCTCAGCAATCGCCCAGGGCTGGGCTGCTCCGCGGGCAGGAACGGGCACGGAGCCTCCTCGGTGCTCTGGGCACCCTCTAAAAGCCAGGAAGGCTTTGGACTGAAGCACATCAGAGCTCCAATCTCCAACAGGTGAAGGCCCTTCACAGCGAGATGAATTTCCCGGTGGCAGGTCATCTCTCCCAGAGCTGGAGACCTCATGGCTTAGGCTGCAGGTACCTACATTGCTCCCATAGGAAATGAGGCCCCACAGATTCTCACCACCGTGTCCTCAGGTTCGAGTGAGGCATTTGGCAGCTGCCCTGTCTTTGCTGGGACTGTGCAGCTGGGGATGCCCATCCCTGGGTCTGAGCAAGAGAAACTGGTGGTGGATGGAGATTCTCCTCCAGACCTGGATGTGTCTGATAGAGACTTGACTCCTACAGCTGTTCCAAAGCAGTGACTTGGCTCCTCTGGCAAATCCACAGAGGTGGAAGGAACAAGTGCTGGGAGAAGCAAGTGCTTCTTGAATAACTGTACTAATGGGAGAATTAAGCAGTCCCCTTTCTTTCTCTGCTGAATCAGAAGACACTTCATATGTTTTGGTTCTGGAACAAAGGCCAAGCAAGTGCAATCGTGGCTGCTAAGACTGTTTTATGCCCTGGGTCACCATGACTTTGCTGAATGCACGAGCTGTACAGCAAACACTGATTCACCCAATGTTGTCACTACATCCATGAAATAAATAGATGGGTATCTCCACTCTGTGTCCTTGTGAAAACCAGTCACTGGAGAGCAATACTCTCCCTTTAGGAGAATGAGGGAAAGATTTCCCCATATTAGGCTTCTTATTCAACATTCTTGGTTGTCAAGGGCTGTGATCATGGGTCATAGCATGGCCCACAGTTAGCCTAGTTTTCTCCTTCCTTTGTTAGTGAAGTCACCATCACCAAAGCAGACCTTCCAGCTGAGGCAGACAGGCCATCTTCAGTCCCTGAAGCTAGTCCCTGGGGCTTGCTTTATTTCAAATCAATTATGAAAAGTGAGGTTGCAATTTGGTATAAAGAACATCCAGAGGAATGCAACTGCTTGCCTGAATATCCTCTGACTAGGTCACGAGGGTAGGACACCCACTTGATAAGTAACCAGAGACTTGCCCATCTGCCCAATTTACCCCTAGTTGGTGACCAAAGAAAGAGAAAATGGGTAGTAGAGTAAGGTGAGCTCAGGCTGGGGTGAAATTGTACCGGTAAGGAGAACAAGTTTAAAAAAGTTTGATGCATCAGTTTTTCCCTGATGACACCAGCCACGATCAGGTCAGTGCCACACCAGTGTTCACGGGGTCTGCAGGTGCTTTGGCAGACACGCAGCCTCTCGGCTCTGTGTTCACAGCTGCACAGGCAGAGGCACAGCTGTCCCGCCCAGAGAGCTGAACACACAGGAGGGGGGAAAGGACATTGCATGAAGGGAACTCCAGTTCACCAAATCCAGCCTTCCCAGTGTGCTCTTTACCTTTGCCAGGAACCCATGGCTGTAACTGGCCGCTGCGCTGTGTGTCGTCACAAACCGGATCTTCGAGAAACTTGGAGCAGCTGAAACCTCCAGTTCCCCCAGCAGTTCTGTGGGAGGAGAGGAATGAAGCAGAACAGATACAGGTAAGGTGAGCTGTGCAGAGCAAACAAGCAGAAGTGAAGTGTTAATCTCTAATTCATATATTGAAATCTTTTACTCCAGCAGGCAACAAAATGAAATTTTAAAGGGACACAATTGAAATCGTAAGAATTTTGCGTAACTGCTGCAGTGCAGACAGAGGTGGGAGGTGTTACCATAAGTATTCTCTTAATATAGGGCAAAACAGGTTCTCTGGTAGGAGAATAACAAACTTTCTTATAAATAGCCTGGTCACACACTAGCTGTCAATTCATACAAAACATTTTTTTACAAAGGCATGCCAAGTCCAGACTTGTTTTTGTTTTAATTTACTGCACTACAGATTGTAAAAGAGAAGCAACCAAACAAAAACTGAGCCAAAGGGATTGTGTCTGTGAGTATGCCCGTTTCTTAGATATTGCCTATATCCCTTTAAGGCAGCACAAAGCCCTTCTTTATAGTGGTTTGAAAATGACCTCCTAAATTGAGGCAGCAGGGTCAAACTGACCACACATTATCTAGCAACATACTCAACTATTGCCTCATAACTTACAGATTTGTTTATGGCTCTTATAGTTAGAAAAAAGAAATTCCTCAGATCACTTTGACTTATCTTTTATAAACAAGCTTCTTTTCAATAGTGTATTTTGGGAAAACCATACAGTAATCTTGAATCCCCCTTTGTCTTGCAGAGACTGCAAGAAATTACCAGCATCTCCCAAAGCCACTGTAACACTACAGATCCCTCCTGCCTCCCCAGTTAACTGACAGATCATTCTAGTCAACTTTGAGGAAAATATGTCTAGAAAAGGGTCCAACCAGCCTCCATTCAGGATGTGGTTGTTACACCTGCAGTTACCTTTCTCAGACATTGATCTCTACTATTTCTCTGCATCAATCTATAAATAAATCCCTTCTCACACCATGTTTACACAACACAGGTAGTAAAGTAAACTTCAGTCATAAAAAAGCAAACAAACAACCCCCCCCAAAAAAAAAAACCAGCACAACTGAGGCATATTCAGTTTGTAAAATCTAATCCTTGGCACTGGGACATGCCAGGACTAGAATTGCTGGTACAAACTCATCTCATGCCTACTCTAAATGAGTTACAGAACTGGTGCTATAACATGGCCCCCAGTTATTTTGCCTGGGGCTCCATATATTCAATGCACTGGAGACAGTGATTGCTGAATGAGCAGCTAGCCACTCTTCTTTCTGTTTTCTCTTCATTGGCAGAGTGTCTGGGCCACACATGGAATGTATTTACTGCACATCAGCCAAGCCCTGCTCAGAATACAGTTCATTTACTCCAGGGCATTTCTTTAGTGTCCATCACTGCAGCAGCCTACTGATTTTGGACACAAATGTTTTATCATCATCACTGGAGGTGAGAGAGGGTGGGGTTAGGCTAAGCTTCATTTTACAACAGAGGCCCAGAAGCCAAAATCTTCAGTTTGAGGGCTAAACTTGTGACAAAGACTAACTGCTTCCCTTACCCCTCACTCCCTTTAGCATTTCCCATCCTTGTCTGTGGTAAAACACATTTCCGGTTCCATCAAACTCAACCCTCGGTGTTCCAAACAGAGCATGTGAAATCTGGGAGACTTGTAAAGTAGCCACCTGTGAAGAGCTCAAGTGGAGCACAGGATCCCTGTGCAAGGCACAGAAAGGACAAACCAATTTACCTGGCAGTGTTCAGCTTGCACTAACCACAGGAGTGGACTTTCTCTTCCTACAACACTCTATGGTTGCTGACAAAGCCTTCTCAGAACTGACTACCAACACCTGTAAAGACAGCCCCTCACTACCCAGCTTTGAGCTGCAGCCCTGTGCTCAACCCAAAACTTTGTACCACCACTGACAAGGTTCACAGCCCAGTGCTTCCCCAGACCTGCTCTGAGCAGTGACCTCTGCCTATGAATAGACAGGGAACCCAGTGGTTTACAAAGCTGTTGCCCCATCTCCCTGGTCCTCAAAGCTTGCCCTGGAGACAGGCACCCAGCCTGCCTCTTGAGCTGAAACTTCTAACATTAGTAAGCCTACAACTGGAACTTGCTGAGCTGAGAGGAGAATGATGCTTACACATAACTCCCAACAATCTTTGATTCACAGAAAGCTATACAATCCCGCTCCCAATACCTTTAAAATTCCCTCCAGGTCTCTTGTCATACCTTTTCAGACAAGATGCAGTTAAATACAACAGCCCACCCCAGCCCTGTGTTTTAGTAGTCAGATTTAAAAGTTGAGTTATTCAAGAAGTGAAAGGCAAAGCCTGGAATTTTTTGTGCATTTTGGGCAGGAGTGGGAGAGGAACCTACAGTGCACTCAGCGCTGGTTCTTTGATGGTTGCATGAGTACATATATGTGCTTAGGCCATAGTTTTCTCTGAAATTCTGACTATAGGAACTGACTCTTTAGGGGGATAAAAAATAGAAAAAGAAAAAAAGAGGGAACTCCTGTACCACCACCACCACTTATTCAAAGAATCAGCTAGAGGATCCAGCAGGCCACCCAGGGAACTATTCCTACTTGAATTTGTGTTTTGTTCTCATGGCAGGCTCCAGAAATACTATGTTCATCTGTCTCCTGCATGACTAGTTCTCTTGTAGTCCCGAGATTTTTGCAAGGACAGGAAGGTGAGGTCTTCTCTAGATTACTTTTTGTTTTCTGAAATCAGAGCATGATGCAGGTGTTGTTCTTTTTCAGGTTGTTTCTCAGGCACAAGGGACCTGCACCATTTGTTTATACAACAGGTTTGTCCAAAGCCAGTCTGCCCGATGCAAATCTCCACCAGTCTGCAGCAAGAGAAAGCAACATTCTAATGCGAGAACATCCCCTTACAACACCAGAGCCTGGCAAACCACATTCCAGCTCTGTCTACAGCACCCAAATGCATTTGATCCACACAGCAAATGCATGAACACCATACTGGTGATGGAAAATATCAAAGACCACAGGGTGGAAGGTATGTGGGTATTGAGGAGGGTCCTCAGTTTGCAGTGTCCGTGATGATTCCACACAGACCTTTATGTTTTTTATTGCATCTTTGTAGGTGGTGATGGGAGAAGTGGGAGCATGGCTGCCACGGGCAGGTGAAGCCCTGCAGCTGCAGTACACCTGTTTGTACAGGGAAAGCACTGCAAGCTGCCACCATTCATCCCCTGGGGAAAGGGGACAACACTGCACATGGCAAGAAGCTCCTCCACAGCCAAGGGTGCTCCTGGAGCCACCTCATATGCAGTCACGTACACCCAACCCCTCAGAGCATCAGGCACTCCCCCAGGCAGAGCTCCCATCCCAGAGGTGGCCACTGGCAGGAGGTGGGGGAGATCTGGCATGCATACAGCCCACAGGCTGCACCACTTGCCTGTGACTGAACAGGTACCAGAAAATTCATCAGCAAGAGGCTGGTACTTCCACGGCTGCAGCTGGATGCCCTCAGAGCCGTAGGTCTGTGGCAGGTGGGAAGATGGCTGCTCCAGGCCCGAGGACACCGAGCACAGCACACACAATGCAGCCTCTGTTCACAGCACAAGCAACAGAATCGAAACCACTTCATTTCAAGGGGGCATTCAGGCCTGGAGCCACCACTGGCACAGGGACAGCTCTCCAAAGTGGCAGAGTGCTCCTATTGAGGGAGCAAGTCTGGCCTGGCTCCTGTGGATACAGCAGCGTGCAACAGCTCCAAGGATCAGGGCCACTTCATTTGTCCACCCACAGGCTGAATTCCAAAGCTCTATCTCAGAAAACTAAGCAGGATATACGGGGGGTTTTTTCAAACATAACAGGTTGCTTAAGAGCTAAAGCCTCTATTTCATTACTCCATTGTAGCAGGAACACAGGTCTGAACCATCAACCTTGTACCTCTCCACAGCTGCAGTGGAAATAATTTCAGGTACTCTTGAATGCAGCTGACGTGTGGGAGAGGCAGGTTGTTCACAAGGTTGCCAGAATGCTGTTTCACTTGTGCATGCAGCAGGCAATCCAGCAACAAGGTGCAGTTCAGCTTTGAGATGATTAAACAGATGAGAAACATTATCAGGCTTGAGGGATTCAGTTTAACTGCAGTTCCATAGAAACCAGCAGTAAAAAGGCTGTATTTTTTTCCTCATTACCCGGAATGCAGAACTGAACTCAAGAGACTCTTCCCTTACCTCACAGAGGCTTCACAGGCTGATTCTTTTCATATTAAGACAAAAGTATACAAAAGGATTTGAAACACCAGCAGTTTGCCAGGGGATTATGATTATTCCCCAAACCAAAATTAGAACGTTATCCCTGTTTGTGTTGTGTGAGCCAGTTACTGCATCTTCAGAGGGCACCACCTAACATACATTTTATATTCCCATACACTTTACAGTAGCTCATGCTGATGAATTGAAAGATGCACTTTTAAGTAAAGGCTTAAAAAAAAAAAAAGTCTTCAGCTCTTTAAGAATTGGAGCTTTTAAAGAAACCACAAAGCAATCAGCTTTTGAAAGCTCTTCTGCCATTCAGAGAATGCCATGAATCACACACACATTAGCAGATGTCATGTGCAAATCTCTGTTGCAACACTAGGAGGACAGACCTCAACCACTTTGGCATCCAAAAAGTCATCTCCATTTTAAGCCTGCTGCTGACAACTCTCAACACTGTTAATTACACCTTGCAGCTTATAGTTGTGAGAGTGTTGCAGAAGATACCACAGCAATAATACTGAACCTGTTTAAAAGTGTGATAACATTTCGTGGAAACTTTCAGCTGCAGTATTTGAGTCAACAGTTACACCTGAGGTATCAGCTAAAGCACCATTTAACTCCAGGTGCACATTGTAATGCCAGAAAATAAGCAAATTAAATTATTTATTAAGTCAGGCAGGCAAAAGGCTTTGAAATAATAATCAAACCTGTGATAGAAGTTGAGCTTGGCAAAGCTTTAAGAGACTTTGTGCTTAATCTTTAAACATAGTGGAAGGCTGTCCATCACCTTGTGTGTTTGCTGTGAGCCATCTCAATGCAAAAAGAACAATACAGTTCTCATTTCCACTATCAAACCTAACACCTGCAGTGTCTGCATTACAAGAAAATTACCTGTCTCTACTGAAGAAAGCACTATGCAGGTCTCATTGGAGATTTGGGGTTTTCTCTTTTACCCTAAAGGGTTATTACTACACAGCCACTCACTATGAGCTGCTCGTTTTATCACATCATCATAACTGACACCAGGGCCATCTTCAGATCTTGGGTCCTCTATAAAAAAAACACCACCACAACAAAACCCATAAGACTAACAGCACTGAAGAGAATGGAAAGAAAATTATAATATTGTTTCCCCTTATCACACTAAATTCATTTGCAAGACCATTTAGCTTACTGTTCTCACCTTCATACTCCACATACACATTTTCTAGTGTAGCTATAACAGGAACTGGAGTCTGTTTAAAAACCAAGTAGTTAATTTTCAAATTATTTGGGACAGGTTTTCAGATAAAAAGCTTTTAAAAATGCTTTAAAAAAGGAATATTTTTCACCAGAATCTGCCAGTAATATATGCTATTTTAAAAAATTTGGATATGCTGCAAACATCCTTCCTACCCCCCTGAACAGAAAGATGTTGATCTAAACTTTAATTCACAATATCGTTGCTTGGGAGTTTTACTAAATGCAGTAATGTTTCCTGTGCGTTTCAGCATAGATCAGAACTTAGTTTCCTAGGTCACCTTAAAGATAAAATCTTTAAGTTTTCAAGCAGTATTTGTGTGTTAAGAAGGCCTTTCTGCACACTGTTCTACTCTGAAGGGGTATTTCCAGCTTACAGAAGAGCAGCATGTTTTATTCCTGGGCACATCTGTTTCCTACTCCTAAACTACACACTTGATCTGCACTAAAAGTGTTATCAACTAAATTTATGAAGCACTTAAGCACACTAAGTATCTATGTAAATCTCTGCTCAGCCCTTTAACAGAAAAGGGTAGGGAAAGAACATAGTGTGAAAAATAATGAAGGATCTGAGTGTCAAAGTAACTCTGGTAATCTCAAATGTCATAGCCTTACCTAAAAGAAGAACTGGCACTTTCTCATTTGTGACATTAAAAGAAGGCAAGATGAATTTTACAAGTTTTATTATACAAAAGATGATCCAAACCCCTAAGAGCTCTTCTACAGTTCTAAAAGTTTTGTTCTGCAACTTGTACTTCCATATGCTTTTCCAAAAAGCCAAAATAAAAAGACTCATTAGTCTCGCTTTCTTCTTAGCAAGAGTCTTGAAAAAACCCAACCGTAGCTGCATCAAAATCTGTTATTTATTCTTTGTATTCCAAGAATTGCTGAAGTCTTTTCTTATGTTCTGTAGACACTTGCACTGCACTAAAAACAAAAGCAGAACATTTTACATTAAGTGTAATACACCACAAAAATAAAGTCTCATGCCAAAATTGAGTATACATTGAAATCAATTACACTGAAGCTAAATTTTAGAAAACCCAGCTGTATGAAAAGCCTATGTTCCAAGGCAAAGAAACATATTAACCCTTAAAACTGTCAATTCTCATCCTACTACTAAGACACTTGTCCCAGGAAATCTTGTCCATTTACTTACTTTTAAATACACAGAGCAACTGATTAACTTGCAAGGATGACTTAGGTGAGAATCTCTTAACATGATCTCTCCTGTATATCGAGCACTTCCAAACTGAGGGACATTTCATGCCCACAGGGAGAGATGGGCAGATGCTGCAGGAAGTTTCAGTCCCACATATTCAGAGGCCAAGTATGAAAGTCTGCCTGCTGTGACAGTAGCTGAGAAAGAGCCTTTGGGTGACCAGGCAGCAACGGAATTCCATTATTTGGACCCTTCATAGGATTCTCTCAGTGCAGAACAATTGTCTCTACTTGATTTATTTTCTTTTCAGCAGCTCAGATTTATTAAATGAGTGGTATTCACGAACTGCTTCTAAAGAGTTCATGAAAAGTCACTAAGAAAAATTACCCAGAAATCTATGAATAATAAATTTCCAAGCCGGACCATATATCTACACAAGAACTTTTTAAGGTTCCACAAATCAAAAAAGTACTAAAATACCATGTTAGAATAATGACCTGAAGAGATTTTTTTCCCCCGAACTTCCTTTCTCACAGGTTCTACAATAACATTATTTAAACTAAATTTAACAAGCAAGCAATCATGAGGAATTTCTTACTTTAAGTGTTCTCCAAAGACAGTAGTTATCCGGTACAGTGCTGTCTTCAGAGATGCTCTAAGTGCAAACCTTAGTGTTTTGTAGGATGTGTCCACCAGACTCCCTGAGACCCGGGAGGGCTTGCTAGAAACATGTGGCAGTTTGAAATGTCTGTCTACAACCTGATTGAGAAAAACATAAATGAAATCAGGTCATCTGTTCAATTATTTCATAATGTAACCATTTGACACGTTTGTGTCAAATAAAGCAAAAAAAGTGCACATTCGGAAATTCCACCAAGACACACAAGAATGTTTTGGAGATTGATCATTTCCCAGCCATCAACAGGAACACAGAACCAAGATTCTGTTACTAGTCTTAACTGCCAAGCACAGCACATGCTGCAGTAGAAACACAACTATGTCCCATATTATGACTTCTTTCTTTTAGAAACGAGGGTATTGGCTTTTTTTTTTCCCCCTTGTGCCTGTTCTTGGAATAGATGACTTGCACTGAAAAACTTTAATAACCTCCAAATTCTTTCCAAGAATGTCCATTTAGGGCAGTGTAAAATGATTATGTCAATAGGACATGCACAGCCTTGGAAATAAATCTGGATTTTTGAAAAATACACACTGAACAAACATCAGTGACTTGAGGGTAATGTCTTTGTATTTTGAAAGAGAACATCATACAGATCTTATCTCCTGTGATTTGCAATGTCTCCAAGTGCTCCATGTTGCACGAGGAATTGTGTACAGCCAAATACAGTCCTAACTCTGCATAAAATATAGTAGTATAATTGCTGCATCCCTGAAATAAGCACACAGTACCATTTTTTATTTTGAAACATTCCACGCTTTCTCCTTCTACATTTTAAAAAACAAACAGGGTTTTTATTCAGCTGTTTCATAGTGCACACAGTGACAACCAGCTGTTTTGTTCAGATTAACTGCAAAAGAGCTGTTTCAGTGGCAACAACTTGAATGTTATGACTACTCAGCAAGGTCATAATGTAAAATTACCAAGACTCCTCCTAAGCTTGTCCTGCAGTAAGGAAAAGTTAACAGTTTTACCTCCTGAAGAGTCAGTAAAGTATTCAGGATAGCTGGCAGTGTAGTTTGGACAACTCCAAACTGGTCTTCAGTAAAGGAGGCTGCTACCAAGTGAGACAGACCTTTAAAAAAAAAAACAAAACAAAAGAATTTTGCTCTAATTAATGCTTCAAAAGCTGAGAATTCAGTAACAAAGATCATGGCATTGCCTGAAGAATCTACTGGTGTGGTAGAGCTCTTCAGGACTTACTGCAGCCAGCTGACAGTTACCTCAGCTTTGGCTCAAGGACTAAATCACTCACTGGTTTTACAAGTGTATTATAGCTTGAGGTTGATACAGCAAGAGAGATTATATATTAAATAAATTTTTAAAAACACATTGGCTCTCTTTTTCCAAAAGAAAATCCCAAAGTGCAACCACATACTGTCATTTTTCTGATTCTCTGCAGATCATCTTTTTCTGTTTATTTGCTAAGTTACGACCTGAGTGCCTCCCTCAATTCCCTGATTAACAGAGAAACACTCAGAGCCTTTAGTCAGAAAAGCTGCTGTAAAAAGAAGTCATAAATCTATTGGTGGGAAAATGTAAACGTGATACATGGCTTCACATCAGCGAGAAGCAAAAGAAATAAGTTTAGGGATCTCTACAGATCATAAGTAAGAGATCTCAGATGGGATCTCAAAACTAACAAGTGAATTAGACTTTAGCCTAATGGTGTCTGGTGTCTGAAATGCAGTTGGGATTTTGTCAAAAGTGTTTCAAAGACTTTTATTCTGTTATATTTATAAAGTACAGAGGCCCAGAAAAGTTTTCCATGAATCAACAGAGTGGATCATCTGGAAACTGCTTACCTTCCAAAGCCCAGATATGCATTTGGGCATCAGAGAAGACAGCCTGGATGGAGGCTTCTGGGTGCTGAGAAGAAACCAAAATGTTGTGAGTGCACTTTATAAATAATAACACAGAACCTGCAGGTTTCACTAAGGTGTTACACATTCCATAGGGTCCTGTCCCTCCCCTCAGAACAGACAGGTATGGGATAATCCTGCTATGAAACTCACAGTAAGTACAAAATTGTACTTATAGAAAACCTTAGATAAAAATACAGGTTTTAGAACCCTTACTCTACAAGGTACAAAAGGCTACAGCAGAGCCCATGTGCTCCTGTATTTCCAGTCCCTGCTGCTCAGTCTCAAACACAGGATCGCCCTTACCTTGCTGAAGAAATACATTATCAGTGCCCGTCTGGACAAGAAGTTTTTTATCTGAAAAGAAACAAAAGATTAAACTTATTATCTGTATTTATGTAAGCTATGCACAGTTGGCCCTCCTCAACCCTACCAGCTTCAGACAGTATAGAGGCATTGAGGGGGAGGGGGAGGGAAGGATCTGTGTTATGTAAGCTAAGCGGAGAAGGAAGTATTCATTCCATAAAATGGGAAATTCTTCCAAAGAATACCCAAAGTACACCCTGTATATACTGCAGTTTTACTCTACCTGTTCTTGCTTGTTCTGAAGCCATGTGTAAATAAATTTGGGCTGTACTGCCTCGCTACCAGCTTTTGCAGCAGAGAGCACTGGGAAGGACTCATGGTGGGAACCATTCATTTGATGATCTACAAGAAAAAAAATACAGTATCTTCAGAAAAACTGGTTGCTGTCACTTTAGTCCTCACAATACAGCTCTCCATCGACATGGCTACTACATTTATGGCTACAAGACAGTGCTGTGGAAAAATCTCTACCTGAAACCGATGTCCACAGCTTTGGTCCCCTTCTCATAACAAGGGGACTTTGGAGCGGTCCATGCCAAGAGGAGTTTACATCCACAACTCCCTTCTTGCAATTTAAAGCAGGTGAGGTGAAGGGTGAACCAATGTCAGACCCAGGAGACGTCTTCAGAGGCATTAGGGAAGGTTTAACCAGTGGAGACATGGTGGCTCTGAGAACAACGTTAGACCTCTGTGACTGGAAAGACACGTCTTCTGTCCCAACAGCTCCTAATGACACAGAACACACTGCATGGAGACAACAGGCTGGCACAGATGAAATAACAGACAGGTTTGTTATTTCATTGCTATTTCAACAACTTCTGTATCATCAGAGCTTTTATTATAGGACATTGTTACAGCTGTGGTCGTGCAAAGAAGTACATCAGCATAAGCATGGAGTGTTTTCCAAGTTCAACAGTTTAAGAACAGCAAGTAATAAGAAGGATCCTTGTGAATTTATTTTTCTCCTTTTGCTAGCCATCATTACTACACCCTGATACAGATCCACATAAAGTGGGCTATTAGGATTAAGTACTAGAGAAAAGGCTACATATAGAAGAGTGACAAGTCTTTGGCAAGTTTGGTATGTAAAAAAAGGCATGTCTGTCTCAAAATCCAAGGAATAGCAATATCAGAAGAAATTCACCTCCGACATACCAACAGTCCCTGCTGTTCCCAGAGCACTGCCTGCTAAGGGATTTCATTACCTGGCAGCCTTGTGCTAACACAGCTCTGCTGCCAGGAGTGATGCCCAAGTCTGGCAGGTAAAACATCCAAAATGCTTGGAGGCTGCACACAGCTCAGGAGTCAGATTGGGCTTTTCTTATTCTACAGTGATATTAGTGAATCACACAAACATAAAAAATCCCCTAATTTTACCATCTTAAACTAATCATAAGAGCAGTTATGCAAATTAAAAAGCATCTCTTGGTAAGTTTGTAAACAAACTGAGTAAACATATTCTTTCCAAGCTTTCTAGTTATTTTGAGATTATCTCAACAAGAATACCTAAAATTATATTGGGAGAGAATCTTTTTTGTTTGCATTTATTTCCAGAAATTCCTGTGACTCATTTGCCTCGTAGAGCTTAACTAAAACTAATGTACCCATGTATCTATCTGTACTGTCATGCTTTACAAACCTTTATGAGCATTTCCTCACATACCTGGAGTCTGTGGAGGTACTTTCAGCTCCCCCACTGGCTGCTTTGCTCTCCCGTTTGCTGCTGCAGCTTCCTGCTGTGCAATCAGCCTCTGGGTCAGATCACTCAGAAGACTCAAGCACTCCCTTGATATTGCAGTCCAGTTGTGTGGGTGCCCACCTGACATATGCACACAAAAAGGAATGTTTAGCCCAGCTGCTCCTCTTGTATCTGTTCTGACAGTGCCCATGTGCTCTCAGCAGGAGCTTCACAGTGACAGTACTACTCCATTTGTAAAACGCCACAGGGCATTTCCACTGTGACAGCTTGTTCGTACTGAGAGAAAGATGAAAACATGGACAGATTCC